CGCGCGCGGTGCATTCACCCTGGTACAGAGACACGCGGTACAATTATGAAGTTTAATGCTTACAGGTGTTTTTAAAAACTGTATGTTAAAAAGCAGATTATTTTACTGAATTCACATACCTACAATATTTAAATGGCAATGGAATACCCATCTCTGACAAAACTAAACAAAAAAAGGGGATATAAATGAAGGCCCATTTTGTATCTGTATATACAAAATAGTTAGGATAGATATACAGCTATTTTCTCTTAATTCAATGAGAAGAAAGAATTGTACTAATAGTGTTTGTGGACAGGATATCATGTCTGCATCTTGTGCTATGAATAACTACTACGAAGACAACAATATGCAATGTAGTAATTATTGAAACTGTCCTACTAATCGGTTTTGAAACTGTCTCATTGCTATTTGTTTCTCAATAATATTAATAATAATTAAAGCAGACTACGCAGATGAAGGGCTCTTCTGAAGGCTTGGCAACTTTGTGTCTTGCTTCATACACAATGTAGTTTCCTTTATTTCAACAAACCAAAGAAATGCCCATACAATTGATGAAAGAACGCAGTGGGCCTGTTATTCATTAAATTCTTACTGTAAGCCAGCCAAATAGCTTAGCGGCCGCGGTTCAATCCCCGGCGTGCTGCGCAGGCCCCGCCCCTGGGGTGGGCTGAGACGGCAATCCAGAAGGCTTGGTTGGGCACGCCTGTCATCCCTGCTCTTGGGAGGCTGAAAACAGAATCACTACAAGTCCGATCTACGTAGTTAGACCCTGTGGATCCTGTACTAAACACAAAATAAAACAACAATAACAACAAAAAATCTTACTGTAGGAGGAAGTTCACCAGCAGCTCCTGGAGCAGGGGTCGACGCAGAGCAGGAAAGAAGAAGGAAAACACTGCGAACGCCCTTTTGCCGCAGTGGCCAGAATCATGCTTTGGTCGCTTTCTTCAATACTTACGAAAAGTAAATGCTACATCAACAAGGTTTTAAAAGTGAAACTCTGACCATGTATACAGTGAAGCCTGCCACCGTCGTGAGCTGCGGCGTTCGGAAGGCCACGCCCTCACGCTAAGCCCCGCAGTCCGGGAAGCCTGCGGCACCGCTTCGCGAGAGCTGCAAAGCGCTGCTGGAACCTGGACCACAGAGACATCTTTCATGACTGTGTGACTGAGGACGTGGTCACACACTTGGGGGAACATGAGTTGGGCCCTCAGCTACGGTTAGATTTGCAAGAGGCAGCGAACCCCAGGAAAAGATTCCTACAGTAGACCTCTGAAAGCTAAGCACTTCAAGGCTGCTGACAGCACAATCAGAAAATCGACTTTGAATGTCCCCAAGTACAGAGCTGCAAAAATTAAAGATAGATGTCCCAGAGGAGCGCACATAATAAAATTCAGGTGTATTACATTTCATACCATGTTAGAAGGATGCAATTCCTTTGGAAGAAATTTGCCCACTCACTTATGATTATAGATATGTTTAATTCTATCATTGATTTATTTTTATTGGCCATATTTGTACTACAAAGTATCTCACTTTCTTGTGGGCCAAGCAGTTAATGACCTGCAAATGGACTCTTCAACATGCTAAAGAAGCTCATTATTTGAAGGTAATTATTTAGCAAAGCAATGATCTTTCAGTTAAGCAAATTACAGACATTAAATTATAAATTTTTAAGTATCTGGTTTTGTTTTATTCTGGTCCTTCAAACAACCTTCTAGTCCAAGTACTGCTTAATCCAAAGTTAAGATGAAAATATTTAGTTCAAGTTAGACAGACAGGCCTGACTGACACCTAGGAATTCTGGCATTTGCTGTGCAGGTGGCAGGCGGAGCTGGAGCCTCGGTGACGGCGGAGGTGATGTCACCAAGGCTTTGGCCTGCTATGTTTTTCTCCAGTGGGCAGTCAGGTTTATGAATATACTGAGTGCCAATTAGGAGACACACCATGAAGACTGTCGGCATCGGTGCCACGTCCAGACCCTTCTGAGGCCTGCATGTGTCCACGTGCCGGGTGTCAAATGCCAAAGGTGGGAAATAATGTGTGCCTGGGGCGTGGACCAAGGGGCAAGAGGAGAAGAGGAGGAGCACAGTGACAGGCCTTCTCAGGACGGGTGATGTGAGGGCCTTGGGTACTGTCAGGCTATTCCAGAAAGATCTACAGGGACCAGAAGGAAGACAGATGGAGGGCCAAGAGGGGGTAAGTTGGAGGTGGGGAGCAGCATGGGAGGAAGATGCATGGGGCAGCACCAGACACACAGCCGGCTGCTCCTGACTCGTACGATTCCAAGGCTGAACCTTGTAAGGGAGGTGGGAACAGGACAGGACAGAGTGGAAGTCAGGGGCGAGGTGCAGAAGGCGCCATGGGACGCGGTTTGGTTGAGTTGAGAAGCTGGAGATGCTTGAGGCAGGGGGACGCAAAAATCAGGTCTGCCTTTTAGATCACTCTAGCTTGGAAGCCCTGACCTGGGAGTCAGAGAGGGTGCAGCGCTCTTGGCCGAAGTGGGAAACACTTCATCAACTCAAGTCCTATTGGGTATGTGCTGACCGCACCTGCTCCTGCTGGGCAGCACTGAACTCACAGGAGAGCCGTTTGAATAATATAATCCACGTGAAACTTGACAAAAGTTACAGAGATTAAAGTGCTAAGATAAATTAATATACTCAAGACATAAAAAGAAACTAAGAGGAAGTGGATATTGAGTAGATGGTGGAATTGCGTAGAAGGGAGAAAAGGGAATTGGAGTGAATAAAGGAGCAAAGCCTCCCCCAGGCTGGAGTCCACTGATGGAAAGTGTGACCACGGTAGGTCTGGAGCAGTGGGAGCTAAGAGTGCACCAGAGGCATCCTCGGCTGCTCCGTTTGCTGGTGTGATTTGATTGCATGAATCTGAAGTGCAGGGGAGAAACTAGAGGTGCACATCTAGGGGACATCTGGGAGGAGCTAGAGCCCTCCAACCTGAACTGTTCATGTTCTCCCAAGTCGAGTACAGTAAGAGGTTACCACCCTAGCAGTGAATTTCAGGGTTTCTCAAGCTATAATGTCACACACACACACACACACACACACATGCACACACACGCACACACTTTGAAGATTTAGATTTTGGAAATGATAAATCATGTTGACAGTTATGAATCTAACAAATGGCGCCCTTGTTCTCTCACTCACCCCAGTATTTTTCAAGGTGGAAGCGAGACGCCTGTAACAGGTCCGCACGGCTGAGTGCCTCCCTGCTATCCCCTGCACTCGCAGGCTGAATGGGTACCCAGACTTCCAGGTGCAGAGAGGACCTCACGCCTTTGTCTTCAGTCTCCTGACTATTCAAAGGTGCAAGAGGATCCTACCGGCTGCCACAGAAGCCTCAGAGGAAGGGGCTTCCACGACGCTGCCCCCGGCAGCTCACGCTCAGGCCCTTCTCTGACGTCACTCACCTGAGGACTGGGCTTTCAGTTGCCAGTCCCACTGGGTGCAGCTCCTTTCTAAGCTCTACAGAACACATTCATGACCTCAGTCCCAACAACCCTGGCTAGCAGGCTTAGGAGTGGGACTCAGGAATGCGTCACTATGTCTGGAAAGCCGTGACCTCTTTGGCAAGAGCACATGCTCACGTTTCAGTAGTATTTTGGGAGGAAAATTAGGCAATCTATATGATACTGTTTTCTAAAGTGTTACATAAGATAAATCCTAACAAAGAAATTTCTTCTATGAGTTCAACAAGGACAGGAGATTGGAGAGGGGGCAGGAGGTGAACCGAGTGCAAGGGACTGCAATGGGTAGGGGGAAGCGCAGGAAGGACCTGGCTGTGGGCCTGCTGTGCTTAGTTTGTCCACTACAAATGTGTAAGTAAAAATTATTTAGGTGAGAATATGAAGTTTGTGCTTTAAAAATATGACTATTAATGTTTAGAGAACCTTATTTATGCACTGATATCTTCCTCAACTGTATTTGAAAAAAAGTGGTTTTACAAGTCATTTCCTAACTATACGTCAGGTCAAAAGTACTGAGAAAGTGTAATACAGTTCCAGCGAATGCTATCAGTCAAAACACTTGAAAATCTTTTGTTTCAATCCTACCCTTCTTGATGGAATCTGAAATTAAAATGTCCCTCCCACAACCAGTTGATGGCATCGCAGCTAGATGGGGGATGCTGGGAAGTGTCTCCCTCCCCCAATCTAAAAGTACTTCCAAGGGCTGGCGAGATGGCACTCCTGCCTGTCTGGCAAACGCAGGGATGGGTTCAATCCCTGGCACCACATGCCATGCCAGCCCCACCCCCAGGCACTCTGTGCTGCAGAGTCCGGGCGTGGTGGCGCACGCCTGTAATCCCAGCACTGAGGAGGCTGAAAACAGGAGGATCACTGAGTCGGAGCTGCACAGTGAGACCCTGTACTGAGCAGATAAATAAAATAAAAATAGTAAAAGTACTTCCACAGTAACAGGGGCCAACACCATTTTTAGTCTGCTGAGGCCTTCCAGGATGTAACCCCCAGAAACTAGGCTCACCAAAAGGTACACCTGAGGCCTACCCAGGTCTTCAAATTAGTGCCCACATATACCATATTTGTTGAACAAATTCAGATTTATTGAAAGTAAACATTTACATTGGCTACAATGTTAGGACTATTACAAAGCTGGATAAGAGAAGCTTAAGTAGCAAGAAAAAGCAAGTGCAATAAAAAGTGAATAGAGAAAATAGTTGGCCTTAGTGATCTCTTGGCAGTATTTACAGTATGTACATCTTGTTAAGTATTTGTCGGAACGCTAAGGCACCAAAGGCTAAGTAGCAGGCTGCAGCACTACCTTGTGCACAGAAGTCAGGAGATGTAGAGAAGTTTGTGTAAAGAAACACAGGCGTATCTTCATGTGTACATACAGGAGTGGTTGCAAGTTTTGAATCTCAAATGATACATTAAATTTGGGCAGACTGAGGACATTATTTGTAGAACATTAAATTATGTAGACTATGTAAATAAGCACTATTTTTTTTTTTTTTTTTTTACCAACTTGCTGTGCGTGATGCGATCTGTTCAACACTGCTTTTTCACACTCATGGCTACGATTTGTCTAAAAACTACTTGAAATACTTTTAACCTACAAAATCTTATCCTATATTTCATAGTGTGTACGAAACCCCCAGGAAAAAAAATTTACTGGATAATAATATACATCAAATCTATGTATAATCTGGCAAAAATTTAGCAGGTATCAAATGCCAAAATCCGTGAAGGTTCACCGCGCCATTCTGGCATAGCAGCTACGTCGTGTAATCCTTTAACTCTTCAGAGTAGGCAATGTTTGTGGCTGAAGGTTGTGAACAGACACAAAATTGGCCCATGTTTTTAAAAAAGAAATAATCTTTAAAAGAACTAATTTCAAATTTTGCAACTTGAAGTCCCTCCAAGTAACTCACTGGGTGCCAATGACGTCATTCACCACTGGTGGCTGAAATACCCACATTCCAGCGGAGCTGAGGTGACTGACACCGCCTGTGGCCAGCGTGGCCCTAACCGCTGAAGTATGAGGTGACTACCGTGCACGTGTCGGCACGGACAGCACTCATTAGTCATTTTTCTTACACTAGAAATCCAGTCAACTTTAACAAGCAGTCTATTACTTGTCTTGAGGTAGTGTTGTAATGAAAGTCCTGTAGGACAATCGAAGGTCATAAAGTTTCTAAAATGTGCTTTCGAACGCCACCAGTAAGTCTACTGAGAAGGCAGAAGGTCGGGCAATCCAGGCCGCTCGACAAAGCATTTCCGTCTGGTGCATTTACCCAGACTCTCGTCACGGAGGTGAATTTCTCATCCAAATTCCTGAAACCCCATGCCCTAAATTATGGTTTTAAAAATACTTTTATTATATAAAGTACTGTGAAACTTTGTTCGATGATGTTAAGGATTCATACACTTGCATGTTAAAGATTTTTCTCTTTTAGCAAAGGAGAGAAAAATTCACAAATTTCCTCTTTGAACTCCTCAGAAACATTTACAGGATGAACAACGGTTGGCGTTGTTAGTTTGTGAAACTTTATAGTATTTGATGGAAATTTTCAGGATGTGGTACTCTTAAAATTATAGTTGAAAAATCCAGTATTTGAGATTTACAGAGACAAATATAAAATTTATTCCAATATAATGTACTCTACACCAAAGTGACTTTCCATAAAGCACTGTCCAGTACTGATTTGCATACTTTTTTCCTACTTCAAATGTTCAGTGATTTCCCTGTTGTTTTATACAATGAAAGAAAACAAATTATTCCTCGTGAAACCAGTAATGGAGGACAAAGAACTAATAAATTATGACCACTCTTCAAAAATGAAACCAAATGCTTGCCTTTGCTTGCTGGTTATCTCAGCAATGGCTATACAATGCACAGAGCTATTACAAAACATCAATGCACCAATTTCCAATGATTATTAAAATACAACACAATGTCAAATGTTTGCAGTCATCAAATAATCAAGACATGACATTTTAAAGGGCTGACTGAGTCCAGGCAGGGCAAGTGCTTAAATGCCCAAATCCTACAGATCTGCTTGGACTTGGAAGCATGATATTCATTGCTAACAACAGGAAAAGTAGTTCATCTTCAGGTAAACAGAAGCATCTTCATCAGTCTATGATAATCGTGCCAATCTCAAAGAATTCAATGAAAACTTTTGTCAGCTCTCCTTAAAATAACTGCTCAGAGGGGCTCTAATACAATTTTGGAAACGAAGTCTAACATTCTGTGTTGATTATAGCTCAATTAGTGACTGTTATAAGACATCTTATTTGGTACCAGGCATCACAGGAGATACACCGGGCTGCCCCACGTAATGGGTATTGAACTGACAACACACTCAGAGAAGTCTATCATTAAAGCTAACAATAAATGTTTTTACTGTACTGGTTTGCTTTCCTCCTAAATGATTTTCCTTGAGCCTTACAAGTTACCTTCCAGTGCAGATTCTAATACTGTATCTTTTGGAGGTTACCCAATGTTAAAGATGCCAGAGTGGCTGAGGCTGGTGGCATTCATTGGCTCCAGGCAAGGGGCCTCGTGGCCCAGCACCAGGAGGGGCTCTATAGCCACGGCTCCTACATCCTGTAGGACAGCCCTACATGGATGCCACATGTGGAATGTTCCACAGAATTAAGATTCTGTTGCCTAGAATGTTGGGAGGCCAGGAGAGCCCTTGCAGGACACCAGCCCTGTACCTCACCCCAAGGCTTCAGACAACTGGTCACAGAACAGGAAGCTGGCCCTTCGATCTAGCATTAGCCCTCAGACTGGCCCTGGAAGCAGAGGCGCCACTCAAAACAGACCAATGCTTTAGGTAGACAGTATCAGAATGATTACTATCTCAGCCTCTTGCAGTCATTTTGCAGAAATGAGTGGCCTATCAATTATTTCCAGCAGAAGAAAAACAAATGACATAAGTACTTCCTAAGCTGCAACCCTTGACAATGTGTGTGACCTTTTCCTCGCCTTTGATGCCAAAAGAAATAAAGACAGGTGTTACCACATTACATTTGCAAATGATAACACTCTCATATTTTTTTCCTACATAAACTAAAATCAGATAGGAAGCATGATTCAGGGCTTAAACAGAGTGGCAGACTTGCATTAAACTGCTTTCATGAATGGCCCAACTCCAAAGAGATCATATAAGAAAATCAGCACTACCAGCTACAGCCTGAGTTAACTCTAGGACGCAGAGAACAGAAAGACTTCGAGGAGGCGGACTCCTGAAAGGGAGAGCCCAGAGCTGGTGCTCTCACGCTCTATCAGCCTAGTTGTGTTCTTTTAATATAAAAGAAACTTTAAAGCTTGTTCTCTTTCTCAATATGAAAAAATTAAGCAGAGGTACTACATGAACAAATATAAAATGCTGGTGTGGTATAAATAAATTTTTAAATGTTCCACTGTAGAAAATAAAATGTACACACTGTATCTTTCAATTCTGAGGCCTTTCTTTTAAACATAAGATCATCTGAATATGTATTCAGTCCCCCAGGGGCTTGAAAGTCCCCAAATTATTATTCTTTTCTTGGAACCAGGAATCAAACTCATGACCTCGAGCTTGCCAGGCAGCTGCTGCCCACTGAGCTAAATCCCTGGCCCAACAGTCCCCAAATTATGACTTACAAGTAAACTTTAAATAAGTTAAACTGTAACCAATGGGACATTTCTTTAAGCAAATAGAACAATTATCTGCAAATAGTTTTTGTGAACGAATACTGATCTGTTCAGCTTGTATCCCAGCTCATGTTCTCGCCGCTGAGCAAGGACAGGAGCTGCACACAGCCCATCTCTCTTGCCAGAACGCGCGTGTGGGAGCACACACCTGCAGCTGCACGGCCAGCTCGGTGTGCGGGGCTACGTGCATGTGTGTCACCCACTTTTTCACACAGCACTGCCTCTAGGACTCACTTCTTTTCGTAACCAGAAACAGGACAGGCAACGTCCCCCAAGCACGTGCCATCGAGCACTGCTGGTGCGGCACCAGACAGTACGAGCCGCACACGGACTGCAAGGCCTCTGACAGACGCAGGTGCAAGGGAGAACGCTATCAGCTCTCTTTTGGTAACCTACAATGTCAGTTTATAGTATCAAATGTCCAATTAAAGAATTTAATATAAAAATATCAGCACAAAACTGTTTTTTCAATCTGTTTATTGTATATGCAACCCAAACTTCAGTTTAAGTGCTGTTTTAATTTTATTACTAGATTCCATAACCCTACAACTGATAAATTTTGTACCATTGTAGGTATTTAATGAGATACTTAGAAATGCTACAGAAAAAAAAAATCAGTATTCAAAGGGTTCATTTTTTTTTATGCAATAACAATAAGTTATCTTGCTATCTTCTTCACTTCAAAATCCAGCTCTGCACAGGAGGAAGGCTTCCCAACCACACGACGAGCCGCGTCTACCCAGTGGCGGTCTGGTTACCAATCACACGGAGGATCTCCTTGTGAACGCCGCCCTCCTGCGTGTTAATGTTCGCATCGCCCACTTGGCCGTCTTCATAGCTGAAACAGAAGCACAGAAAGACAAACACGTTGAAAAAGACATCAGGACTGCAGACAGATTCTAAATGCTGCCTGCTCCCTAGAGTCCAGCCCCAGGAGACAGTGACTCTTCAGCTGACTACTCCCTCCTGCCCCTGCTGCTCCCTGCAACACGCTGCAGCGGCTGTGCGGCCTCCCCGCAGCCCCACTCTGTGGTGACTTTGTTCATCCTTTTCCACCGTAAAGCTAACATCTTCATCTTCACACGAGCACTGCCCGGGCCTGCTGCTCAGCACTGCAAGCATCCGCATGGCACCTGGTACGAGGCCAGCTGCAAGGCAGACGCCAGCCTCCACTGCGTGCCTCGGGCTCCCGACGCCTCCTCTCTGCTCCACGCAGGCGGGTCTCCCCCCATTCTCCGAGTGCTGACCCTCGCCCCACCTCCCAGCCCCTTCTCTTCACTGTGTCTCCGTCCTAAGTGCTGCTGGCTAGAGCTACTCTGTTCTGATCAGGGCTGGGGTTTCCCTTATCACAGGCTGTGCGCTGACTTAGCCTGGCCGTAGCATATTCTTAATTCTGCCGGTGCTTCACGTAGAATGAGAGCCTGCTAAGTTTAGCTGAGTGCTAAAAGTGAAGAGATGATACTAAGAGACAGCAACTGCAAAGCTCTTTACAAAGAAATAATTGCATTTTGGATAATTCATTTCCTTAATAAACTCACTTAGGCAATAAGACTTTCCAAAGAATGAATTTTCAAACTTCTATGATAATATTCAGAGCAAAATAGGTGATGAATTAATTTTATTATATAAAAATGGCTTCAAGACAGAAGCTTTAGAGAAGTGGTAATTACTTCAAAATAGATAACCACAGGCAAGAGCAAAGTGTCTCAAAGAGTAATTCACGCCACTGTCTTCTCCCATACAAAAATTTCCCAGAAATAGCACAATAAAGGAAAATGAACCAAGTGGCCTCAAGCCACAGGGACTCGGCTCCCCCACGGCCCACACGCTGCAACAGTGGCGAGGAATGCACCCCGCAAGGCTAAGCTCCTCTGAACGGTCCAAGGCCGCTGGTCAGCTTGGCCACCTCTTCCCCTACGTGCTTCAGATGCACTCTGTGCCTCCCTCCGTCCAGAAGACACTGGGGCAGCCTGCGTGCTGGCAGCCCACCCGTGCACTTCCTCAGATCCACTGAGAACATGTTACAGCAATTCAAACTGTCCAAATTCAGTCGGGCGCTTGTGCCGGACAGTGTAAAGGCATGTGCCACTGTGCAGGCAGGCAGGCCCAACAGACTGCTGCTCCCCAACTCCCGCCTGGTGACTGTCCTGCACGGATGACAGCTAAGCCACCCTCTGTCCTCAGCAGAACCAGGTGACGCAGCCTAACTTGGAGGCAGGGCCCTACATCAATCACAGTGCTTTACCATGACAGCCAGATTAGCTCCTACCAAGATGTACATTATGGAAAACAAAAGAGGTAACAGAAAGAGGGAGAGGATGTGGGGAGACCCGGGCCAGGAGAGGCTGTGCAGCAGCGCCTGAGCCACGCAGGCCCTAAGCAGCCTTCCAGGTGACGACCGCACGCGCTCCTCGCCTGCCAGCTTAGCTGTCTTCCGCCCCCACCGCGCCACGGCTGCAACGGGGTGCCTACTCGGTCCTGTCAGAGTTCGACACAGGGAGGAGTTGAGGGAGGCGTGTTCCGTTTCCCCCGCACCAACTCCGCATGCTCCCATTTCCCTCCCTGCCACCTCAAGTTGACCTGAGAACAGGATCTGCTGGTGTAACTTCCCATTTCACCTTGATCCACTGAAGTTCTTCTTCTGTCCCTGCAGCTCACTGACAAGCACTGGCAAAGGTCACCTGGCCTCCCGCCACTAAGGTCCCCTTCTGCTGGGGCCCAAATGCACTGTGCTGCGGTCCTCCCAGAGGCCGCTGGTACTGCAGGCCCTGAATGGCGAGTGATCACTCCCGCCTCGCCTCCTGTTTCAGTGATGGTTCTACTGACTCGTTCCCGGGTTTCCTCTCTCATGCTCTACACGTGTCCTCAGGTCTCTTGCCCTCTACTTCATGTGTCTCTCCCGGGCTCCCCCCAACACAAGCGTTTCCACGCCTTAGAGTGCTGCGTGATCCGCTGGCAGCACAGAAGCACTGCACACAGCTGCCCTGGGTGTGCTGCCCCCAACTCCAGCACCTTGTGGCTCTTGGTGACCCCTGTGCCGGGATTCAGTCCCCACCAGGTCATCCTGCTTCCACTCTGCTACTTCCGGTCACATCTTTTCTCCAGCTGATGCAGTTATCCTTGGGAACTGTCATTCATTTATGGGAGAGTTCTTAAATTTGCAGGTTGCATATACATAGTGGGCTGTGACATCACTTTGTCCGAACTGGCACCTGCAGTGACGCTGGGGCAGGAAGTGCTCTTGCGCTGCATGCAGAAGCCCTTATGTTTCCCCCAAGTCACAATGCCAAACATACTGCTTTTCCTGTGGCAGAAAAAGTGACCCAGACTATTGTAGGACAACTGTTGAGTGATCTTTCTGTTGCGCGAACTGCGCCGTCGTCTCTTCTAGACCATCTCCCACCCAACTGAAGCAACACAACTGATCTCGGCCTCACTCATGGAATACAGGGTCACTGGAAGACCAGCTCCCCCATAACCCCAGGAAACTTCCTCTCCAGTGGGGGCCCTCCCCCTCACTTTCTACTAAGTGACAAGCTTCCTTTTCCCCAGTACATATGTTCCGCGACACGAGCACTAGCAACTAATGGAGATGAGAAGCTCATCCTTTGAATCAACTGAAGTAACTTAAGACAACAACATGGGAGGAGAGGGAGAGGGAGGAGAGGCAGAGGCAGAGAGACAAGAGGCAAGACAGACAAGAGACAGAGTACAACACTCCATGCAACAGGAACCCAGAAAACAGCAGGGTAGCTACTGTGGTCGCTGAAGATGTCAACTTCAAAACAACCATGATTAAAAGAGATAAAGAAAGTCACTATATACTTGTTAGGGGAAAAAATGCAAAAGAAAGAGATAACAATTATAAATATATATGCACTCAATGTAGGAGCACGCAACTACATAAAACAAATTTTAACAGACATGAAAAATCTATAGAATTTATAAAGAACTAAAAAACACTAGGGCCCTAAAATTTAAAGACCCAATTCAGAAATGGGCATCTGAGATGAACACATGCTTCTCAGAAGAAGAAATTAAAGAAGCGAATAAATATATGAAAATATGTTCCACATCACTAGCCATCCGTGAAATGCAAATTAAAACCACATTGAGGTATCATCTCACCCCAGAAAGAATGGCTATCATAAAGAAATCACCCAACAACAAATGTTGGAGAGGCTGTGGAGAAAAGGGAACCCTTCCCTACTGCTGGTGGGAGTGTAGACTGGTGCAACCATTATGGAAATCAGTGTGGAGACTCCTTAGAAAAGTTGGACTGGAAATCCCCTTTAAACCAGCTA